GGGGGCGGGGCGGAGTCGCGGGGGCGGAGCCTGTCGCGGGGGAGGGGCGCGCATGAGAGCCCCGCCTCCGACCGCGCCCCCTCCCAGCGCGCCCCTCTCGGGCATTTAGCCGGGGAAACTGAGGCGGTAGGACTGTTGGGGCAGGGGCAACTCAAGTTCACGTGATCGGGGGTCGTGGAGCCTCGCCCAGGCTTGATCCCAGAGGGGAAACTGAGGCCCGGGGAACGCAAGGACGCGCCCAAGGTCACTGAACCGAGCCGCGGGGTCGGGGCGTCTGCTTGCGCGACTTTGCGCGAAGCGTGTGTGGGGGGGAGACTTTCTCCGCATGCCTTGGTTTGTGCCTTGGGCAAGAGGGCTTGACGGGGCAGGCGGGGACCGTTGGCGCTGGGACTGGTAGTCCTGGTGCCCGCCTCTCTGTTTTCTATAGGTTTGAAATTTTCCATAATAATAGGGGTTTTTAAAGGCCAAAGAACCCTTGCTTTGTCAAGCACTGGCTCTGGACAAAAGGCCTTGAGAATGTTATTTAGGGCGAGAAGGGGGCAGGCTTCCCAGGATCCCACAGGCGCCTCCACTCTCTTAGCTGCACGAGGGGAAACTGAGACGCAGACTGGGCAGTCATAGCAGTGGGAAGAGCCAGTAGGTTGTTGGTGGTTCGGCCCTCCTCCCTTGTATGGGCTGCTGTAAAGAAAGGAGGTGACCGAGGTCACAGGAGACCCAGAGTCCCCTCCACCCTCCCACCTGCTGCCCAGTAGGCGGCCCCTTGCTCTATCCCTTAGGGTTAGGTCCCAGGTATGTGGTCCCGCTTCCCAGCTCTGTTCGGGGAGACACACCGGCCCAGGAGCCTGTCCTCACCCAGCTCAACCAGAGGGGCAGCCAGACAAGCAAGAGAGTGAAAATGACCCACACAGAGACAACCCAGCCTCCTGGACCTTCCTGGATCCTCACCCTAGAAACATTGTTTAGCCTGAAGTGATACGGACTGCCCACCAGGATTCCCTTACCATCTAGCCTTATCCCTGCACAGTAGGCACTCCGTAGTGACTGATGTGTGGTCCAGGACCGCCTTACCTCATGCTCATCCACCTCAGCACACTGGGTGGGCTGAGATGAGGGGCACTACTCCACACTCTGGGGAGGGGAAACTGAGATCTTGGAATCCCTAGGGGACCATTCCACACATCCTCAGCCAGATGGGCAGGACTTGAAGTTGCCACCATCAGGCTGTGGCCCGCCCTGGGGCAGATGCCTGTTCCAGCTGAAGGGGGGTCTTTTATGTTCTCCCTGGGAAGATGTCAGGCTGGGCAGGTCGCCAGAGCCCCAGTGCTGGAAACAGAGCTGTGAGGAGAGGCAGACATCAAGCCTCTAGCCTCTGGAGAGCACATAGATAGAGCTGCTCCAGGCTCCTTGGCCACCTGCCCTGTGACCACAAAGGAGGATGGCACTAGCGGCTCCTAGCCCCTCTCTGAGCCGCGGGGGGCCCTGTCAGTAGGCCTTGGGAGCTCATCTTCAACCACAGCATCCTCCCTGGGCCAGGTTACCATTGGCATTTGGAGGTCAGCTCCAGCTCCTGCCTTCATGCCCTAAGTACTTGCACTTATTCATTCGGCAAATATTTATCAATTTCATAATATTCAGGCCCCAGACATGAAAGAGTCAGGCTGCTAACCTCAACGTCAGAGCTTCAAACCCATCAGCCCCTCAGAGGGAGAAAGATGAGGGCGTCTGCTCCCATACAGGTTTTCACTGTGGGGACTCAGAAGTGTTACTGGGAGTTGGGATGGATTCAGCTGTGGGTTTGGTTTGAGCACACGAAAAGGAGACCTGAGCTGTGGACTGCGAACACACTCATGTACTAAAGAAAAGGTTGGAGGTTCAATTTCACTCAGAGGCACCTCAGAAGAAAGGTCTGTTGATTTACTTCTAACAATCAGCCATTGAAAGTTGCACTGAACTCAGTACAAACCAATGGAGCACAGACACACATAAGGCTGCTCTGAGTCGGTGTCCAAGGCGATTGATTGGTTTGGTCTGGGGACCCAGACTTTAAATGTTAACAGTCCACCGTTGGTCTGGCAGGAAAGCAGAGTCGACGACAGTAAATGAGTTTGTTTTTAGGTGTCATCGAGTCAGTTCCGATTCATAGCAGCAGCCCTGTATAGTGTTTCCGAGGAGCAGCTGGTGGGGTGGGTTTGAACCTCCGATCTGGTGGTTCACACTGGTGAGTTTGATGATGTAATGAATTTTAGCTTGTCTGGTGAGAGGAGCTAAGCAAATACTCAGAGCAGGGAAAGGGGATGAGGGGGGCACTGGGGGTCATGTCCAGGGCCTGCAGAGGAGGGATGGCACATTTGAGCAAATACCTGAGGGAAGGAGGGACGGAGGGATAAAGGGTTGGTGTCGAGGGTGTCTGTACCAACAGTGATGGGCAGGCAGGGCAGCACGCAGGCCCTGAGGCACATGCCTGGCTGGTTGGGGAAGTTGAACAGGAGTGGAGGGTGGGGGTGGGCTTTGGAAACTAGGGGGTGGAACTACATGGTGTAGACCATCAAACTCCAAATCCTTTCCCCTCTCTGCCTTGCCTGCACCCTCTAATGGCTCCCAGCAGCTGTTCATTGTGGGGTCTTGGCCCATCCCCTTCTGGACTTACTACAGCTCCAGGCATGCCAGCCCTTCCTCCCTGACCCCCAAGTCAAGTTCCCACCCCCTGGGGACCTTACCCACTCCCACCCCCGGTGTCTTTTTCTCTGCTCAGTCTGTGGCAGGTGCAGCTGGTGGGTAGGAGCTTCACCAATGTGAGGGCCCTGCAAGCAAAGCGCCACTTAAAACCAGGAGACGAGTGGGGTCACTGAGCAGTGCTGAACTCAATACAGACCTACCAGGGACCCCCTTGACTGCCAGGGAGTGAAGTGTCATCCGGGGTCTCAGAGCCATACCCACAAGTATGACCTTTCAGGGCAGGAGCCCCCAGCCAGTGTCTCCCACCCCATTTCCACTGCCCGTTTAGAATTACTGTACTTTTCTCTCCGGCTCCTTGCTAAGGTCACTCTCCCCCTTCCTCAGTAATTTAGGGTACAAGTGTAAGACGAGGTGAACCAGTCTGATGTCCCCTCATTTCTGGTTGCTTCAAGGATTTACCCCCTAGCTCTGTTCCCCCCATCACTGCCAGGTAACCCCCCCTTAAGCGCTATTGCTGCCATTGTGGGACCCTAATACCCCACCCCCAGTGAGGTGAGGGGTGCAGCTTGGAGTCTCGGTGTGAGACCCAGCATTGCCATGGGCCCTGCCCTCTTTCAGGGCCTGGGAGGAGAGGTGGGGAGCATCCGGTGAAGACCCATGAATGCGTCCTTGTTTGTCCACCCGCCCTGGCTTTGCCCACAGGACTGGAAGTCCAGAGACCCCATGCTTCCCAGGGTTCTGTGGAGGTGCCTTCCTTAGCGTCAGCAAGGTGACCTCATTTAGTCCTTTGATCCCATCTTACCTCTGGAGAAACCAAGGCAGGCTTCACAGAGCTGTACCCAAGCTCACTTAAGTGGGGGGATGTGCTGATTGAATTAATCAATGCACAAGTACCCAGACCAAAGGAAACAAGGCCTCAGTAGCAAAAGGACCCCTTCCCCTGAAGGGCCCCGGGGCCTGCTTGCCTCCCCAAACACAAACATACAGCCAGTTGAGTCAGAATCCTAGCAAACCTGCAATCTTTGAGCACGTAGCCTCAGCAGTCTTCTGCAGAGTAGCACATCCCATGCTGAACTCCCCACACCCTGTGTGTCTAAGCACCCCTCCCAGGATGTCAGCAGGGTCCTCCACACCTTCCCTTCAGAATCCCCAGGGGCTCACGGAGGTACCAGCCTTGACCTTGCCAGGTGTCCTCAGCTGGGACCTGGCCTCCTCTGCCTGCTAGCTCAGGTGCAGCGCCCTCTGGTGGCAGCTGGCTTTGGAAGAGGTCTGAGCCCCAGGCCTTCCCTGTGAACAGGGCGCCCCTCTTCTGCCTGGGGCTGGCAGGCTGAGTGGAACTGCACTACCGTGTCAGATAGGTGGGGGTCCAACTTCACAAAGGGAAGTGTTAGAGGGCGGCATGGGGGGGGGGATTAGTCCTCACAGGCTGTGCAGTGACACTGCCCCCTGCAGGACAGAGGAGGGAGCTGCTGCAGCTGCATCTCACTTGCAAGGACCCCCTTTGTTGGTGGGCTCTCTGGAGAGCCGGCACTTTGCAGGGCCCCTTCTGTGTAGGAGGCAGAGGCAGGGCCAGCTTCTCAATGCAAATTCTGCTCCAGACCCCCCACCTCAGGAACTCACTCCCCACAGCACACACAGGCTGCAAGCTCCAGAAGGCCTGTTGGGTTCTAGGATGTACCCCCAACCCCCATGGACCCGCTGAACCACTGTAGTGCCCTTCCCAACCTGCAGGATGCCCTGTATCTGTTCTGAGGACACGGGGTCTCTATTAATAAAGTCCCTTCCTCCTCCTGCCCAAGTGCAGACAAGAGCCAAAAGGTGGGGTGCAGTCGGCCTTTATTGTGAACAGGGATCACTGCTCCCAAGACAGCACGGCCATGGATGGGGCACAGACAGCAGGGCTGAAGGTTGGTAAGTCAGGGGCCTGGGGTTCCCCTGGGAGGTGAGGGGACTAGGCCCCCCCCGCCAGCCCATCCCATACCCACAGAGACTTCAGGTCAGACCACAGACCAAGGACTTTAATGAACTTGACAAGCGCAGGATGGGACCAGTCAGCAAGGGTTTCAGACAGGCAGGATGTGCGGACTACACGCTGCAGGAGGGAAGCCCTCCACCGCTATGGGGAGCCCAGACCTCCGTAACTCCATGGGGCTCATGAGGAGGGAAAGAAAAGGACAATACCCGTGGCGGAGTAGAAATGAGTGAAATTCTGTATGTAGAAAACTCTGGTTTGCTCGAAACACGGGAAATCAGTATAGGACTTGAATCGACGATGCTTGCCCTCTCCCAGGTGGGTTTTCTGGAGGTAAGGGGATCAAGGATCTTGCAAACACTGGACTGACCATGGAGAGGACAGGTGGCTCCTTCTGCCTCGTCTGGAGCCTGCCTAGATGGGGAAAAAGGCTCAGGATCCAGTGGGTGCCTGGGGTCTCAAGCCCTGGTCCCTACTTCTCTGAGGCCACGCAGCCCACCTGAGCTCAGTTGGCGTTCCTCTGGCGGATTTGTTTGTCGTTATCATTCAAGGGGTGCCCGCTGCTCTTCCTATAAGGCAAGGAGGTTGGACAGTCAGTGTGCCTGTCCTCAAGCTCTCAACACCCCCCACATCCAAGTCCCTAGGATGGAGGGTGACCAGCATGTGCTGGCCCAGGGATGTGGCAGCTCCCACACCTGTCCCAGGGAACCCCTGTTGCCCCCCTTCAGGCAGAGCCAAGACTCACAGTGGTGCGGAGCCCGGGTCGTCATCTGCAGACGCGGTGGCAGTAGATGAGAGAGAGGAGAAAGTGAGGTCAGCAGGGCCCCAGCGCAGAGACCCTGGTCCCTGCATACCTGCTGCCACCCATTCCCTCACAACCCAGTCCTCATGGCCTTCTGAGCTCCCGCGCCATGCAGGTCCCTGGCCCAGAACTGAGCACAGAAGGCAGGCAGCCACTTACCGGAGAGGACGCCAGCTTGCAGCCAGCACAGAGGAGAGAAGGGGCAGTCAGCACAGACCCACTCCCGCCACAGGGGGACCCTTACCAAGTGCCCTGCCCGCAGCCCTGAGCCTCACCGTCCAGGACATCCTCGGGCTTGCGCCGCTTCTCATAGATGAAGATGATGGTGACCAGCACGAGGACCTCAGCCACGATGCCCAGGAAGGGCCAGAGGGCGGCCAGGCGGCTGCGCACGCGCAGGGTCACAGTGGCATGGCTGGTACCCACGGAGTTGGTGCCGTTGCACACGTACGTGCCAGGGTCGGTTTCCATCTCCAGGTTGTGGATCTGCAGCTCCGACCACGTGTCCGAGGATTTCACAATGAACTTGCTCTGGGAATTGTTCACGATGACTATTTCGTCAGTGTCCTCCTTCCTGAACCAGACCCAGTCGGTGACGGGCGGGAAGGATTCAGACTTGCACTTCAGCATGATGGTCTCGCCCTCGTTGGCGTGTTCCGACTTCTTCACGGCAAAGATCTTCGGGATGCCTGGGGACAGTAGGGGTTGAGCATGTGGCTCGGCCACAGGGATCCCATCCCGGCCTCAGGAGAACTCACCCTTCACGGGGATGCTGGCCCTGCCCGCCTGCTCGGGGAGGAAGATGCAGGCATATTGGCCCCCGGCGTCTTCCAAGTCCACCCTACAATCGGGTGGTGTGAGCCGGTGTAAAGCCACAGCACTGCCGCCCCATTCACCCGTTCCCAGGGCCCCGGGGACTCACTCAAACTCGGTCCTCGGGTCAGGCAGCGTGTCCTCCTTGAGCACCTTGTCCCCCCGCATCCAGCGGTGGCCCTCAATGATTGTGGCGCTGTGGTTCAGGGCACAGGTCAGACGTACCTTGGAGCCCACCTCATTCACCGAGGTCGAGACTCTGCCTCCTGTGAAGACACACACATTTGACAGGGAGCTCAGGGAGGGGTTTCAGGGCCCAGAGATCCCAAATGGACAGAAGACCCTTGCCTTTCTGGAGGGCCTCTGACTCAGTCTCCACATGGAAACAAGGGCTGGAAGAAGCCCCCTTGCTGAGGCATTGCACGGTGACCCCTGTTCATCTCTAGAAGCCTAGGTTTTAAAGCGCCACACAACTAGATATTGAGAAACAGCCCAAAGTCCTGGAAGGCCACAGGGTGCAGCGAACAAGACAGCGGGGGGGCAGAGGACACACAGATGCTGGGCCTAGTGCACAGCGCACACTCCTACACACAGCCAGCTGTGGGGTGGGCAGCCAGAAGTGGTGGTGTGGGAGAGGGTCAGGCTTAGTGGTATCTGGACCCTCGCACTCCCACAGGGAAAGGCCCCATCCTATGGCTCTGGCTCCCAGCCCATCCCTCTGGGCAAGACACATTCTGGCAAAAAAGGGCTCACCCTCCCACCCTGCATCTGGCAGCCACAAAGGACAGTCTTTTGGTAGGAGATGGAATGGTTAGGTTGCTTTCTAGAATATTCCATGGGCTCTGATGCAGGCTCCTGCCTTGGCCCCACCTAGGCCTCTGGCCACCTCAGACCCCATACTGACACAGGATGAACAGGCTCCCAGGACACACGAGCACCCTGCTCACAGCCCACAAAGCAGAGGCGGCCATTGCTCTCCTGCCCCTGCAATTTGGAAGTGGTCCGAGGCGCCCGCCTACCAGTGTCCCCATCTTTACAGGTGTCCCCATGGTCGGGTGTAAGAAAGGAGGTCGGGAGGTGCAGACCTCCCTCACAAGTCCACCTGCTGCTCTGTGACTAAAGCGGGCAGAAGTTGAAACTGGGACCCGCCTTTCACAAGGTGAGAGCCACGCCTTGTGTTCTTATATATAAAAGTCTCACAAGCCCCTTCCTGGGGGTGATGCAAGGATGGATGCCCCCAGCCCGCCGGCCGGGGCTCAGCAAAGCACTTAGGGCCCCACCCCCAAGCTCTGATCCCCGGAGCGCGTCACGTGACCAGGGATCTGCAGGAAAGTCACCTTCCTCTAAAAACAGCCCCGCCCTCCCGCTCCCTGGGGCAGGCTTGGGGCCAGCGGGGCCTGGAGGTAAACAAGCTGGCCCGGCTGGACACAGGAAAAGGATGATCAAGTCCGTCTGGGGGACACTTGGCAGCATTAACTGAGCCCAGATAAGGCCGTGTTCCCCCCTCCCCGCCGCCATAGCCGATGGCTGGGCGATCAGGAGAAGAGGGGAGACTGAAGGAGGTCAGGAGCCCCCACCGATGCCTCCATCTCGCCCGGACCCCTACATACGAAAGGTCACTGTGAAAATCTTGAACCCAGAATCAAACAGGGGGTGCCCTCTCCGCCGGGCACAGCAGCGCCTGTCTCGCTTCCGGCCCCCCCAAAACGCGGCCCGCTTTAGCCAATGGAAACGAAGGCCCTCGGCTAGGCTTGGTGAAGGCCCTGAACCCGGGGCCTCAGTTTCCCCCCCTGTAAGGCAGGAATGACTACCCCCCGCCCCCCACGACAGGGAGCTGGCCCGCTCCCGAGCAATTCATGTGCTCCCGGATCCGGGGACCCTTGGGACCACAGGAGCCCCCTTTCCAGACCAGGAGGCCCGAACGGCGGGGTCACCCTGGAGACACGGCCATGGCCGATGGCACGAGGCCACCCCGAGACCCCCACCCCAAACGTCCTCCAGCCCCGCGGGCCACTCCGACGTGGACGCTGCAGGCCCTGAAGCTTGGGGACGTCACCTCCACCACCGACCCGGGCCGGAGCCCTGTCCAGGACAACCCCGTCGGTACCCCCCGCAACCCAGGGGCTTCCATTCAGGCTCTGCCCGTAGGCCCCGGGCGCCTCCAGGCTAGGGGCCTTCTTCCCACCCCCGCCTCGGGCGGACCCCAACCCAGCTCTCACCAGCCTCGGAGGCGGCCTCGACGCCCAGGAACGCCGCGGCCAGGACCACGAGCAGCGCGGCCTCCATGTCGCCTAGTCAACCCTCCGACCGCGCTTACCGCGAACCGCTGCCGCCGCCGCCGCCGCCCGCGGCCGCAATAAGAACCGGCGGAGGCCGGAGGGGACGCGCACGCAGGGCGACGTCCGGCGCGGGAGCACGCACGCAGGGCACGCAGGTCGCTCCCCGCTTACGCACGCGCGCAGACGCACGGACGCACGCGCTGACTCAGATGGGCCGGGGCGGGGCGTCAGACACGTGTCTCTGGTGAGCCACGCCCCCTGGGTCCCGCTTTGCTATTAATGGGAGCCTAGCTGGGCGCTTTAGTTTCGTTCCTCGCTTTTCCTGGCGTTTCTGTGTATCGCTCATTCGTCCTTTCTTCACGGGTTCCTTCTGTGACTCGCTGGCATGAGGCTGCCAGACTAGCAACTAAAAATTCCAAATGACAGCTAAATTTTAATTTCAGATAGACAACGAATCATTTTTTTAGTATAAGTATCCTATGCAATATTTAGACATAATTATTACAAAACAAAAACAAAAAAGATTAATGTTTATCTAAAATTACAATTTAACTGATCAACCTGTATTTTCTCCTGGTGTTGATGTACAAGTTCTTAGAATAATGAAAATAACTGATGATCGAATGTTTCCATTAATTTTCTGAAGCCTCCGAGTATTTTACTACAATTACTTACACGAATGATGAATGCTGTATGCCATTTTATTCTTGAAAATTAATAAATACTCAGGTTTGGTATGCATAAACTAATTTATTCTGCTGCACAAGACCTCTTTAAAGTGTTAAAGGGCAAAGATGTCCGTTTGAGGACTAAGGTGCGCCTGACCCAAACTATGGTATATTCAATAACCTCATGCATGTGAAAGCTGGACGTTGAATAAGAAAGATCGTAGAAGAATTGATGCATTTGAGTTATGGTGTTGGAAGGGAATATTAAAAGTTCCATGGACTGCCAGAAGAACAAACCAATCTGTGTTGGAAGAAGTGCATCGAGAATGCTCCTTGGAAGTCAGGATGGCCAAACTTCATCTCTCATACTTTAGACATGTTATCAGGAAGGATCAGTCGCTAGAGAAGGATATCATGTTTGGTAAGGTGGAGGGTCGGAGAAAAAGAGGAAGACCCCCAACGAGATGGATTGGCACAGTGGCAGTAGCAGCAATGAACTGAAACGTAATAACTATGGTGAGGTTGGCCCAGGACCAGACAGTGTTTCATTCTGTTGTGGTCGATATGAATCGGTACTGACTCAATGGCACAACAACAAGGAAGGATCAGCCCCTGGAGATCATCCTGCTTGGAAAAGTGGAGGGTCAGTGAAAAAGGAAGACCCCCTAAGGAGATGGGGTGGAACAGTGGCAACAGCAAGAATAGCACAGGATTGTGCAGTGTGTCATTCTGTTGTGCACAGGGGTCACCATGAGTGTGCACCAACTCAACAGCACCCAATAGCAACAATGTAGCAAGGTAGTCAGTGGCAAAGCCTGCAAATCAGAATGAAGCACATTCCTGTAGGACTGGAGACTAGAAATTAACAATCAATGTTGGTTCAGTGGGTATTTTGTTGTCTCGGTCCATCTACACCGTCTCTCAGTGTTGTTAGGTGCCGTCCAGTTGATTCCGACTCATAGCAACCTGAGCCCAACAGGATGAACCATTGATGTCATCCCACAACTCTCTGGTCATTAGTGTCTAATGTATCAAAATGTCCTTCAGATGACCTCTAAATTCAGGTGGGATATACTCAAGGCCATAATTTGGCTGTCTGGACTTGTCCTTTTCTTCAGCTTCAGCCTGAACTTGCGTATGAGCAAGCATGTGTGTGAATTGAAGGTTTACAGAGCAGACCAGTTTTACATTCAACAAATCATATGCTTGCTTCATTACAGTGATTACAATCCCCTCCAGGTACCATTGGTTAACAGTATTTACCTCTATTCCCTTTTCTTTCTTTTTGATGTACACATACCACACAGACAATATATATTCGTTTAAATGTCCACGGAAACTTTGCCAGCCAGTCTCCTGCCTGCAGGCACACAACCTTTCTCAGTCCACGGGCTTCGAGTCCTCAGCTGCTCCATCTCTCTACGCCATCACCTCTGCCTCCATCTCTGCTGTTATGGTCGATATGACCACTTTTCTGGTTAGGACCCCATGGTCTGCTTTTTCTGGTCAGGACCCCATGCTCCACTCATGCTCTTCCTTCTTGATGGTCCTAGGGTCCTCTGTTCCTGGAATGAAAGATCAACTACTCCCCCCTTTTAGTTTTACATCTTCTACATTTACAGTTGTGACCATCACAATTAGTCCTGACAACAATTACTCACAATTGGATCATAAGCTCCTATCCCCACCCTCCCCCATCTGCTTTCAACCAGACCCATCTGGATAAGAGGAAAACTATGCCGTGGGGATTCTACCTTACCATTCTTGTTCTGAAACTAAGCCATCTCAGGAAAGCTTGTAAGCCAATCACTTAGTGCCTTGATTGTTGTTGATAAGTGCCATTGAGTCGCTTCTGACTTACAGCGACCCTGTATAGGGTTTCTGAGGAGCGACTGGTGAGCTTGAACCACCGACCTTGTGGTTCAAAATGACTTTGCAGTCCAGCACATTAACCTGCAGCGCCACACCAGTACTTTATGTTTATAGCCCCCCAGTTTTGACATACACTGTCTAAGTTGTCCGTGTCTCTCAACCCAGTGCACAGAGGAGGCAAGCTTGATCTTTCATATGAAGAATCCTTCCCTTTCGGTTGGAATTTTGGGAAACTTCATTCATAAGCAAAGGTCCACTTCATCAAATGTAGCAATTTACACTTGCAGCCAGAGCGCCCCCTGGAGGCCAGGATGACCAAACTTCATCTCTCATACTTCAGACATAGTGTCAGGAGGGACCAGTTGCTGGAGAAGGAGATCTTGTTTGGTAAGGTGGAGGGTCAGAGAAATAGAGGAAGACCTCCAATGAGATGGATTGGCCAAGTGGCAGCATCGATGGACTCAAGTGTGGCAACAGTAGTGAGGTTGGCCCAGGATCGGGCAGTGTTTCGTTCTGCTGTATATAAGGTCGCTATGCGTTGGTACCGACTCAATGGCACCTAACAACAACAACAACCCTGTATTAAGCTTCTTTATCTTCATCTGGCTAAGTCCCTGACCTTGTTTTGGCTGTTGGCATTCTGCGTCTCTCTCACTGTTGTTGTTGTTATGTGCCGTGGAGTCGATTCCGACACTTAGCGACCCTGTACAGGGTTTCCGAGGCTGTAAATCTTTACGGGAGCAGAAAGCCTCATCTTTATCCTGCGGAACAGCTGGTAGTTTCTAACTGCTGACCTTGCGGTTCACAGTCCGGTTCATAACCACTACGCTTGTGGAGGCCTCACCCTGGGTAAGGCCCACTGTGCATGAAAGACTGGCTTGTTACAGCTCTTCGCTAGGGTTAGAGATTAGCTGAAAGTCTCATTCTATCCTCAAGGTTAGAAATTAGGGAGATGTTTAGATTTATGACTCAAGGGTTAGTTTGCAAATATTAACTATGCGATATTTCTTAAAATCAGCATGCCAGGTTAAAGTCGGTATGATGATTTGCATCAAGTTTATGGTTTATTAGTTACATCCTTCACATACTTCTATTTTTAAAGTTGGGGATTTCTAAATAACTTTGTAATGAGCCCCACAAACGTAGACATAGTTCTACTCCTAATGTTTGTATTATGAGTACATACAAGAGGGCTTCAAAAAGCTCCTGGGAAAATTCCGTGTCTTTTCATTTCCTCTCTCCACGAATTCTTTTTTTTTTTTTTTTTAAGTTTTTATTGTGAATTGGGAGGTAGTTTACATGGGAGAACATTGGTTTTACACTCATCATTACATTGCAATGATTACAGTCTCCTCCGTGCATCATCATTCAATAATATTTGCTTCTATTC